GGCGGTGTGTGGGAACCACAATCCATTGGAGGTAGGTGTCCATTTCGTCGGGTCAGACGTGTAAGGTGCTCAATCGAGCAGGTGACCGCTACCACAAGCAGATGTGTGGGTGATTCGACGTCAACAGTCATCCACAATTCCTACAATCCATGATGTCGGTTCACCCGCTCACGGGAAACATCAGATCAAAGGAAAAGTAGGGTAACACCACTCCGATATCGAAAACAAAAACGGCAAGGACGGTTCATGCGATCTCAACTTGAGCTATGTTTGACCCTATGGGGAGTATCGACAGATCAGATTATCTTCATAAATAGACTTTCAAAGGTACCACCGGACAAATGGAAAACATGATCATGAAAAAACAAACACATAGACCAGGAAATTTACATGTCGTATCCATTACGACATTACTTTAGATAAGTATGACTTTTTCACACAAACTAATCCCTTAGGGTTAGGTCAGAAACTCTACTAGGACAAGAACATTCGCTTCCGCAGTAATCATAATATATAAAACTAAAAGGCACTCGCAAACTGCATGAAAAATCTCTCTTCTGTTATTTCTCAAGGAAAATCCCTCGTGTTGAATTAATGTGACAACCACTGTATCGTCATCGTTATCCACAACCGTCAACAGTGTGAATTGACACTGTTTGGCAAGTGTGAAGCTCACATACTCCCAACGGACTGCTAAGTAGACTTTGTTTTGTTGTCGCATCATTTTTGCACTACTGATTCCCATTCAAACAACAGTGTAGGAATCTTTTAACGATGGATTGAGGTTCGTCTTAAGAAAAACAAAAAGGATTAGATAGACACATTGATGCTGGTAGGCAGTTTTGCTGTTGCACGGTTCAAACTCATGTTGATTTTAAGGGGCTTTGTGTATTTCGTCACTCCAAGATTCAGGACTCGGAATACCGATGCTCATAACGAAACCCTCAACTGTTCAACGTAATAAGATACGTAGTAAAAAAGGAAGTACACAATTGCGTTTTAGCCACATGAAACCAGAGACATCATACTTACAAAAAAATTGAAAAGCGAAGAATTTCCCCAGCCGCCACTAATAGTTCGATGCGATAAAGACGGGAACGTTCAACTTCCAAATTGTTCATAATTTTCGTTTGTTTTCACAGGCGGTGATACACTATCTGATCATTATTTCCGAATTCAAACCACAGGAATCCTGGGCATCCCCAGTACCGGTAGACGATTTGATTCGAGTGTGTACCTCTAGCAGTTGCAAATCTAATTGATACCCGTGGGGTCACAGTGGCAGTGACGACCGCATTTAGCGGAGATTTACATTAGCACAGGCACCTGCCAGTCTTAAACAGGCACTTTGCNCTTTGATGGTGTAAGGCACATACCATTGCTGGATAACTCTATCACAAAGTGGTTTAACACCTGTTGGACTATCCGTGCATTGTCACCCAACAAGGCGATGTCATTGATTTATTCTAAGCCAAGATTAAGCTCCACTGAATAAGGTTTATCATCAAAGTGATCTTTTTTTAGTCGAAAGGCTAGCGCTTCGGTTTACTAATTCAGGCCTCAGATTGCACAGTAGGGTATTGTTATCAATTGGTTTACGTTTATTTCATATTCGTTCATCGTACATACATAAAAATCGACGAGGAAACCGAACGATAAGTGACGAAACTGTGCATCGGTTACTGCAATAGGAGTAGATGAATGTAAATAAATGTAAAACACAGAAAGTAGTTGAGCAAAAGTCAAAAAATCAGCTGAGAAAAGGTTTTATTATGCTAGAGACAACAAAAGCACTACTTGTCTCGCTCTGTATCTGACTGTGAGGAAGGAGGACTAAGGGCAAGAGGAGAACGGGGGAGTTTGAGTACGGCATCCGGCTTAGTGTCAATAAGAACTGGTGATTCATCAAGCCCATCTTCCAGCAATGCCTCTTCTTCCTCTTTGGCCAACAGTCGAACAACTTCGAGATCTGCTGAGTCATACAAATCAATCCGACTGGGTGGAATCACTGCCGCGGCAACGTAGCGTCCCTCAGAGTTCATAAAATTGAACGTCCCCACGGCTGAGGGCTGCGCAAAATAGAGAGGAGAAAACGGATGAAACCTCGCGAGAGATCAGCATGTTTTCAGTTCGGAAGCATAATGACAGCCTTAGTGCGAGTATACCGTTGGTGTGAAACCACAATGGTCAATATGCAGTCCGACTCAGGTGGGATGGAGTGAGCGTGTTAGTAACCTGGATGTTACCTGAGAGTGATGAAACCGGTTCATTGTCTCACGGGGGATAACCGCGTGAAAGTGAATGTAACTAGAACAGGTGTGGCATAGGATGAGAAGTCGCCTACCACGAAGATTGGGTGACTGTGGGTTTGAAACTCGAAACCGAAACACAACTTGCTTATTTTAGTTATCACAGAGACTCATTACCATTATACCGGAACCTAAAGCACGTCACTTACTGTGGGAAGAATATCTACATTCAGTTTATGCTTGAGGCATATATCCAGTATCTGCGAGTAGTTGACCTTTGCGCTTGCTTCTCCTTTGCCAATAATTAGCATATCTGTAACAAAATATTATGAGCATACTCGGCAAAATGTGATACGTACCTAATCGGGGCTCTAGGAGGAAAAACAGGGACAATGATTCTTCATTGATGTCTAATGCATTTTTTACCTGTGTAGTAAAAAACAGTTTATACTTATGAAATAGCAGAACTAACATTCCAGCAAAATGCATTCTGGGGGAAAGCGGCACACGGCCCGACAACTTGCACTCCAGTGCTCAATAGGAATCCAAGTGGACTATATGCAGAGAAGTATAGGCCACTGCTGCCATAGTTAACGATGTCCGGTTCCACTGTAGTGTTTTCCTTCGAAGGGATTATAAAGGCCCCAGCATCACCAATTCGAGAGGTCCTACGAGAAATCACAGCCAAGGTGTATCAAATTACTTCGTTCTGAGAAATGCTCTGGTTACTTGACCACAGCCCCACAATTTATTGAATTTTAGCATAGCTTGTGAACTTTTGTATTGCACATCCAGTCTTATAACATCATCGTTTGCTGGAATAGACAAGAAGAGTAGTGGAAATCTTGAAGTATTGCTATTACAAGTTGTGATATAACAAAAGAAAATAATACATGTATTACTTCATAAATAAAAATGAGAGCTAGTATGCATATCATCACTAAACCATCGGCATAAAAATAGGGAACATCGTATGACCGCCGGTAGTGCAGTCGGTATGCTTGGAATGCAAACAAATCACCTCCGGCTAATATGTCCTAGCGTCCTAGTGAGATAGTGTCAGCCGTCTCGGTCATGAGATTGACATTCGTAAAAAAGCCCAACCACTGAACCCGTTGAACAGAAAGACTGTGACTTTACGATCGAAACGTGAACAAATAACTTGCTGTTTCATGTCGAATTGCTTTCATTTTACTCGCGCATTACAGTGTGACTTCGGTTTCCTCAGTA